AGACGAGCAAGATCCTGAGCATTTGCAACTTCGTCATAGGGAAGGAAGTTAAGGATCTCGAGGGTACATTATTCTTCGACTGGATGGCTGCGAGAATTATCGAGACATTATCATCCCAACCCCACGAGTCGGACGAACCATTACCCATGGCCATTGCTTGGAGTTTTCCGATTGAGTAAGCCAACTCGTTCCAGGTTCGATGATCAATGCTAACGTGTCACCAGGCAAACAGCACTAGGAGCTGGCAAGCTCCAGTCGATGGGCAAGGGTTTTGTGGCACACAAAGGTTTGTTGGGCCGTGATCTTGGTGAACTCATCACGGACTCCTGCAAAACCCACGGCCTCAATGTTGAGGTGGCAGCCATCGTGAATGATTCGACGGCCTGCCTCCTCTCAGAAGCATTTTTCCAAACCTCCACCAGATTCGGCCTTATCCTTGGGACCGGAGTAAACATCGCCGCGTACCTTCCTGTCTCTCTCATCAGCCGTAAAAAGTTCGGTACCCGTCCTGACGGGTGGTTTGACCGTGCCAGCCATGTCATCGTCAACACCGAACTTGGTATGTTCGGCTATGGCATTCTTCCTGTCACAAGATGGGACCAACAACTCCTAGACGGACACGCTCGCCCTGATTTCCAGCCCTTGGAGCACATGGTTAGCGGCATGTATCTAGGAGAGGTCGCTCGCTTTGCCCTGATCGAGGCCATAGAGACTACTGGTATATTTGGCGGTCTTGTTCCTCCATCACTATCCGCCCCATATTCTCTTGGAACTGAAACACTATCCATGATGGCAAGGTAAAACCCAGAGATTCTATTGGCTTGCTGTTCCACATCGATGCTAATCATATGCAGTGATACCTCGGAGGATCTCGCTCATGCCAAGAAATTATTCTCAGATCGTCATCCCTCCTCCCACAAGCCAACGTTCTCGGATATCGCAGCTCTCAAGTCCCTCGCATCTTTCATCTCGCTACGTTCAAGTGCTCTCGTGGCAACATGTGTCTCCACTCTTTGGGATGTTCGACGCGAAAGCAACCAAATATTAGTCGCGACTCTTCCCAAGGACTCGACATTCTATCAAAGCGCTCACGACGACCTAAAGTTAGAAAACACCACCGTCGCATTCAACGGCAGCGTAATCGAGCACTACCCGGGTTATCTGGAGAGCTGCCAGCGCTACATTGATGAGTTGTCTGAAAGCAGAGGTTCTTCCGGGAAGGGCAGTATCAAGCTGGTCCCCGCCAAGGAAAGCTCCCTATTAGGGACGGCAGTGGCATCAGCATGTGTTTAAGGCTGATAATCCAAGAGCCTTTCGTTGTCTCGGACACTTCCTAGGATGCTGGGAATATTCTGGATCTAGTTCTGGATCTAATTCTGGTCAAATAATTCTTTGGGGGAGTTACTTGGAGTTTTGGCATTTATACAGGAATTGGTTTCAAGGTTGTTAATGAAGGCATGGAACATAAAGTACATATAACTTGCATATAGCTAGAGAACATTCTCACCGAACTCTCCTTTAAGCGAAGAGGGGCATTTAGTAGGTAGTATTTATGGTTAGCATGAGCCAGAATCGTTTGTTTTCAATCAAGAGCTCCAACATGGCCTTGAATTAAGTTCCAGACAGGTGATCTCACAAGCAATGCAAACCTCTCAAACGTAACCCGCAGAGTTGTGATCCCACGACAGGCATTCAATGCAATATTATTCCGCAAGATTGTTCCTTTATTACTAAAAGGGAAACGAAAAAGGAGACATGTCTTTATGTTTCACCAAAAAATCGTGTAAATGCATCATATACCTAATGCAGTAAGTGCCATACGCGCTGTGGGGAACACCATTAACACAAAGTACCGGAACCTTGAGCCCCACTATCATGCACCTACCAGCCACAAAGGAGATCGTTTACCAATGTCCCTCTACTTTTAGTCACACGTGACTGCCTGCCTGGTTCGCGTTGACTTCAGTCGCGTTCAACATTCTTCAGAATAATAGGCTACAGAGGAGCATGTGCATTCGGAGGGGCTTTTTTTTGGTTGGCATTCATCACAACCGCACTCTCTAAAGCATTTCAAAGTGGCGTACCTGAATCCCCAATACCACTTCCACGTTGATCTCACGTTGATACCCCATGCTACCACGGACTGTGAACGCGGTCTCTGCTTCCATCATGGGGGACGCCAAACCTGGCATGTTCGATGACTGCTCTATTGCTTTCGTGCCCAGCAGTAGTTTGACTCCAAAGCTCATAGGCGATGTATGTCGACTTCTGATCAGCTAATACCACTCATATCTAATTGAAAAAATTATCACAGCTATCCAGCGTTGTTCAGGACAATGGAGCCACGGTATGCGAGCCACGCCGCGATGGCTCCCTTCCCATAGAAAAGGTCACACATATCGTCTCGAACACGATCGATTTCACCCAGTTCACCGAGTCACAAGCGATTATGATTCCCGTCGTTACCACCGATTGGATTACCACATCGATTGCGCGCCGTAAGCAGGCGAATGTACGAACCTTCTCGCCAGACCCCCGGATGATATTCTCACAGGTCATTGTTACCTGCGGTGATCTTCCCATCATGGATAAGGAAAGCATCCTAGGCGCGACCATGGCCCTTGGTGGGCAGGAGACAAAGGATGCCACGCGCCTAACAACCCATATCTGCTCCTTATCCATGGACCATCCCAAAGTCGAAGCGTCCCTTCAAAAGGGCTGGAAAGGCAAAGTGGTCTTACCGCACTGGTAGGTACAGATGAAGAAGACCGTGTGGGCTTTGTCTAATCTGGCAATGCAGGTTTGATGATTGCTTCAAGTTGGGTAAGCGAATCGACGAGCGACCGTACCTCTTGCCTGACCCTCCGATCTTGAGATCGAATCCCGACGACTCTCTCGAAATACCTGCCAACCCCGAACTGGCTGGCGCGACCTCAGCAAACCCTCAGTCTCTACCTCTCCCCCCCAACTCCGATGTTGTCCGGCCACCAGTCACTGTATTCCAAGATCGACGGGTGATGCTCTCGGAAGACCTAGGGATAACCCTCCGACTCAGGAAAGCCATCGAAGACATCATTGTGAACGGAGGCGGAAAATTCGTCACCGACGTCTCGGAATGCGATACATTCATTTGCCAATATCGAGATGGCGAGCAGTTTGTCCGTGCAGGACAGTCATGTAAAGACGTGGGCAACTTGTCCTGGCTCTATTATCTTATTATTCGGAATGAGTGGTCCTCTCCGCTACATCGTCTGATGCACTATCCCATCCCCAGGAACGGTATCAAGGGATTCAAGGACTTGCGGATTACGGTCTCAAACTACGGCGGAGAGGCTCGGATCTACCTCGAAAATCTGATCAAGGCATGCGGTGCAGAGTTTACAAAAACCATGAAGGCGGATAACACACATCTCATCACGGCACGGAACACGAGCGAAAAGTGCAGGGCAGCACCGGAATGGGGCATCGCAGTCGTCAACCACCTCTGGATTGAGGAGTGCTATGCCAAATCCGAAATGAAACCCTACAACATCAAGAAATACAATCACTTTCCTCTGCGAACGAATCTAGGCGAGATTATTGGTCAGACCTTCTTCGACGAGTCTCGGCTGCGAGAGCTTTACTACCCAGGAGGCGAGGAGCACATGTCTCCACGAGCGAAGCGAAAGCGGAAGATCCTAGAAGTTGCCGAAGACAACTCTTACCGTCACGGACCAGCTGAAGGCGTTGTTATCGGTCAACCAGATAAAGAGAGAGATGAGAATGCGCTATCGGAAAAAGAGAAGCCAAAGAAAGGGGGGGTGGAAGCTGCTGCAACTCCTATCAGACCTCGACGGACAGCATCAGGAAAGGAAAACGACACACCATCCGTCATGTCCACCGGAAGCAGAAGCGCCAAGGCCAAGGCTCGGGACATCCTACACGACATTGCGCCTGACATCGCTCTCTACGAGAAGGAAAAGAAGAGGCATAGCAAAGCTGGAAATGCCCCTTGGGGGGGTAAACGCGCCGCGGATCTCACTGAAAAGGAGAAATTGGAGAAACAGGCACACACATCCAGTCCATCACCAGAGGAAGGCGACGCAGAGGAGCGCAAGCGGCCAGCTAAGAAGGCAAGACCGTCGCTTCCGGATGTCGAATTGCGCATAGTTTTGACCGGCTTCAGCTCTTGGGTGGGGGATAAAAACAGAGAGGACAAGGACAGGGTATGTATTTGTATTTTCTTGAGTTGTGCCTTTATGTCGCTAACTAAGCTATGCAGAGGAAACTTCGAGATCTGGGTATTCAGATTGTTCAGGAGGGCCAGCCATGCGATTACCTAGCTGCACCGAATATTGTGCGGACAGTCAAGTTTCTATGTGCTTTGACGCGCGGCCCAACAGTCATCTCCTCCGACTTCGTCCAGAAAACCTTAGAGGATGGCGCGGTGCCTCCTATAGCGGATTACATCCTCAAGGACGATGAGGCGGAAGCACGCTTTGATATGAGCCTCAAACGCTCGATTGCGAGGGCCAAGGCCAACAAGGGCAAGCTACTCCAGGGGGTCGGCATATACTGCACCGAGAAAATCCGCAACGGCATTGATAGCTATAAGGCCATTGCGGAGGCCAACGGTGCCATCTTCAAGGTCTATCGGGCACGCAGCGGCACAACAATCAAGCCGACCACCGCAGAGGAAGATGGCCATGCACCACCCGAGCCCGTCTACCTCATCAGCTGTGCCAGCCCTGAGGAGAAGCAGATGTGGGCTCGATTCAACGACATGGCACATAAGGGCAACATGGAACCACGAGTGGTGGCGCCAGACTGGCTGTTGGACGTCGCAATGGCGCAACAAGTCAGATTCAACGACAAGTTTTTGGCAGAGAACTTCTTCCAGAACGACTCATGAAGGGAGAGCCAGCCTTGCTTGTTTCGCCGTCCAGTTGAGTGGCCTAGCCAGACCCTCGTTGTAAATGTTAGATAGTTAGTGGAAGTCGAAGATTCGCCGTAATGCCGAGATGAATGTAATATTCCAACCCCGTACATATGATGACCCATTCAATGTCGTGACTTCCCGGCTTGTCCCCCCTTCCTCAGAAGAACTTGACACCCTGCGAGTCATCCTGGCCGAAAATCTGAGCCCTCCCCTTCCGAACGAGGACATTCAGCGCCTTGAGCAGCACCTCGTTGTCGATGCCGTGTATGTCAGTGCCCCTCGTCCCCTCCCCCTGCCCCAGCTCGTACACGGTCAGCACGCTGCCCTTCTGCCCCGTCTCCTCGACGTACTTCTCGATCTTGCGCGCCCACTCCTCCGGCTTGCGCCAGTACACGAACACGACGTCCCCCTCGCCCCCTCCCCCCTCCCCTCCTCCCCCGTCACCGCCGCCGCCGGACGCGTACTCGATCCGCCCGTCCCGCCTCATGAAGTCGAGCAGCTCGCGGATGTCGGGCATGCCCAGCCGGCGGTCCAGCCGGCGGTTGTAGAAGAGGTCCGAGTCGGCGGCGGCGGAGAGGCCGAGCCGGAAGACGCGGTGGTGGCGCGCGTAGGCCAGGACGAGGGCGGACCACTTGGACAGCTGGGCGTGGTGGGTGGTCAGGTTGGTCTGCCGCGTGAAGAAGGCGGGGAACGAGTACTCGCGCGGGAAGCGGAAGGGCGCGTCGGCGCCCGCGGCGGCTGTGGATGCGGCGGCCATGCTGGGGAGTGCAAAAGAGGGGGATTCCGGGACGCTTTCGCTCGCCGCCTGGGTGTGTGTTGGTCTCGGTCTGGTTGCACAGCTTCTCAAATTCGGGGGGAGATTGAACGGCCGGTGTTGGAGGGGCACAAGGTTGAACTACGTAGATGATGGTGGGGCCGAACAGCTGGAGCCACCAACCATTTAAGCAAGATACTGCTCTTGAACAATATCGGTCTCTTTCCTCCTCAGATATTGACACCACCACGGCATATTTTATTTGAAATCAAGGCAATATAGCTAAATGCAATTCGGCGGAACGGATAATCTTTGAATGTACTGACTATCAATGGATCTTGGGTATATGTAGCTAGGTAGAATTCCTTATTGCAGAAACGCTTTGAAAACAAACAGCCTCCCCCAAATACTCGATAAAATGCCCTCCCATATTTTTTATCTCTATCGACGAATGTTTTCTCGATGATTCCCAATGTCTGGTTTGCAATGATAATTCCTCGAACGTGTTATACAGAGTGAAGCCTTTAGGAGCTAACCAGCCCAGCTATCACAAATCATAAGTAGAGTGCAGAAAGCTTCATCGGGTCTGGTTTCACACGAGTTCTTCTGTAAATTATCATTGTGGTGTGTCCAGTTGGTTGCATTTCTATCATGCTTTTCGTCCGAACTTTCTCTCTATAATCCCCCGCAGTTTCTTTTCTCGAGTGAAACTCTTTACCAATCCAAGTTAACCCAAAAGAGAATCAAAATACGACTTTGATTGAGCCAATAAACGCCAACTTGAAGTCAAAACAAATTTGAGCCGAGATGATTGTTGTTTGCAGTTGCTTTCCCCTCCAACACTTGGCCGCCATGCTAAGCCGAAGACCATAAACGCAGTCCACTTGTAGAACGATTGCTTTTTCCGACTCGTGAACGCCAGGTCATATAATCGTGAAGTCGTCGTAGGTGAGGAGAGGGTGTGCAACATATCCATATGTACACAGTTGGCAGTAACAAGAAGAACGTTGCAAGAACTGGTGATTGCATGAACTTGAAGTATAAAAATAATAGAAAAAAAAAGAACTGAAAGAAAAAAGAGTTGATATAAATGCATGCGATAGACAGTGAAGAAAATGCAAGTGAGCCTGCAAGCTATATAACGTCCTGAATGGACTGGAAATAAAATGAAAATAGAGAGTGTGGTGAGCAATGCTCGATATTAGCATTCGTCTTCGCTCATGCTCCCGTACCCGGTGTCAACCTCCATGCCAACTAGGCTCTTGGTCACACCCAGGCAACGATCCACGACCTTATGCCGTAGTTCAGGGGTAGCTCCGCAGTTCTCACCAGCGGTTCCGCCTATCCATAGGCGGAGACCACCGGCCAATCTCTCTAGAGATGATGAGAAGGTTTCTGCGGCTTCCTTGTACTCGAAGAGCTGCTCCATGAGCTCAATGGCAGCAGTGTACCCGAGAAGGGACATTTCAGAGGTGGTTTGAGGAACCATGATGGTATCGACAACACGAAGACCCTGGAGGTCAGCGCCAGGGGTATTTCGTACCCGGCGGATATGTGCAATGGCCATGGCGCAACGAAGAGCGAGGCTAAGATCAGGGTTTGACGCAAATGAGCTTGAATCAATCATAGAGGTTGAGCTGTTAAGAGGAGTATCAAGAGTTTGCGATCCAACGGTCTTAAGGGCAGTGGCAATATTTTTGCCTCTGTTTTGGTCGCAGAAGGCGGCGCGGGCAACAATGGCCCTAGCCTTAGCAAGAGAGCCTTCAGGGGCTGTCAGGATGGAAGACTCAATCTTCTCGGCTATTTCAACAAGGGCTTCAGGACTCTGGTCCAGGGTTGCCGTGAGGGCCTGGTGCAGGGTCTGGGTTGACCACCAAGCAGCGATAGCATCCATGGGGGTGCCAACGGCACTATCGTCGACAACGCTGTCCATACCATCAATGGGGTTTTCAACGCCGTATTTGGTATCTTTGTTGAATGCGAGATTGTGGGCACGCTGAATAACGTCGCTGTTGAGAACCACGTCACAGTCTTGCTCGACCAGCATGGCAAGGTGTGCTGGCAGAAGCCTTTCTCTCTCGGCTTCAGTGGCTGCAGCACCGGCAGCAATAAGACGCCGGTTCGCAACGCGAGCTTCGTTCCACTTCCAGGCAGCGAGCCTTGAAGCAAATGGCTTAGTGATCCCAAGTCTGAACTTGTGGTCGCTAAGGTCCCAGAGGAGGAGACGGATATGGAGAGCCTTGAGCATGGAGCGGGCAGGCGAGTCGGGAAGAGTGCCAGAGGCAAGAAGAGTCAAAATGAGGCGGTTGCGGTTGATGTCTACGTCTCCACCAGCAAGCTGGGAGTCAAGTGCAATAGACCAAGCCTGGATGCGGGCGGTCTCCTGATCTTCGGAAGTTCCACTTATCGCCTGGTACCCCTGACTTCCAATGATGTTGCAGAGACTGAGCTTTGCGGCCTTTAGCATCAGAGCAGCAGCCTCGACGAAGAAGTTGTGGCGAGGAATCCAGACATTCTGGGCAGCAGTAAGCCAGGCTTGTCGGCGGACGTGGATAGATGAGGCCAAGGGAGGCGCGGCATGCAAAGCAGAGATCTGTGTCTTCTTTGGCTTTTGTTGGGTCGGCGCAAAGAGCGATGGGATGAAGACCCAGAGAACAGTGCCCAGAAGCAAGAGCACCTTGAGGGTGCTATGGGCATGATAGCCCATGAAGTTGAAATCGAAGCTGGAGGCAAGTTTGCCAAGCAGGTGTACGGGAAGGGCAAAGAGGCCGCGACCTTCGGTTCTCTCATTGCTTACTTCATTCTCGCGCACTGCTTCCATGATCATCAGACCAGCCAATGATCCAACCATGAGCTTACCGAAATAAGGGCCAGCGTTGCCCCATCGGCCTTGTGGCATCTGTTGCTGCTGCTGTTGAATTTGTTGTTGAGATACCAGTGTTTGCTGGGGTCCTCGTTGCTGGTATGGCTGCTGAGGAACAGGGTATGGTTGGCCGACGGCCATCTGAGCAGCCAGAATACGCTTCATGTCCTCGGGAACTTGGATCATGCCAGTTGGCGGCGAGTTGGAGCTATCTTGAGAGCCCGCAATGGGGGAGTGGAGGAAGTCCTGCTGCTGTTGCTGGGGGTCCTTGGTAGTGTACTGGACTGGAGTGGGTGGCTGCTGCTGCATCGGCGTGATGGAACCGTTCATAGCGCCGGCCATGAACAGCTTTTCGAAGGCTGCAATCCTAGCCTTCATTGTGTTGTTCTCTTCTTGAAGTCGAGTATACCGCTTCTCAAGATGTCGAATATATTCGGTAGCCTTGCTGAGGACCTGTATGGAGTGTCAGTGAAAATAGCCATGATCCCATTAATAAACCAATACGCACAGTTGCCTTGTTGAGCTTATGGGCGGGCGTCAAGCCGTGGAGTTCCTGTCGGTCCTCGGTCGTGTCTTCTCCTCTCGCACTCTTCGACATGATTCTCAAGCTGGGAACTGCGTCTCTCAGTGCGGCAATCTTATCATTCAGGTTGTTTCGATATCGCTTCTCGATCATGTTGTGGGAGGTCTTCTTCACGGGCTTGCCGTCTTCATCATCGTCGTCATCTTCGATCTCTTCTGAGACCTTGCGCTTCTTTGAATTGGGCTTGCCCATCTCGTTCTGGTCGGGAGACTGGGAGCCACTCATCTTGGAGTCGACCGTCGGCGATTCGGGACTTGAAGCACTCTTCGGGGAATGATACTGTAGATGGGGAGGCATGGCGATGTTTCGTAGCTTCTCTTGGAGAGCGGGTGTAAGGGCCACACCATTCCGCGCTGCTTGTTGTTGTGGCTGTGGTTGTTGCTGGACGACCGGGTTTCTCGGACGGATCTTATCCTGCGGAGGTACAATTGGCCCGCCAAATAGAATAGTTGGGTTGTTATCAGGTGATGAGAGGGTGTCGAAACCGGCGGAAGGAGACTGTTGGGTTGCGTCGAAGAAGGATGAGTCCCAGCTGGTTGTCTGGTAGCTGGGCTGGACCATGGAAGCGCTGCTGAGGCCGTCGAAAGATGCAAAAGGGTTGGTTTCGGGGAAATCCCATCCCGAGGAATCAAACTGGGCGTCGCCGTCGGATGTGTTGGAAGGGTCAGTCTTTACATCACCAGAGGCAGAGCCATCGTCAATGAATCCGAGACTCGAGTCGTCGAGTCCGAAGAGGTTTGAAGCATCCTCATCCGTCATGACTTGATTGATGAAGGGCTGCTCCGGTGTCGAGTTGAGTGTGATATGTACCATGCGAAGTGTTAAGATTGGTGGGCTGAGGCCCTTGTGATTATAGAACTGCCACAGAGGGAAACCAGGCAGAGGTGGTGTATATTGATGAGTGGGAAGGTGAAAGCGCAGCAGTATCGACTGATTGAGGGGGGGCCTCAAGGGCTACAGTACCTATCCGGAAGGACCCGGCTGTTGAGGCGAAGCCCGATCACAGGGAGGTTGGCAACAAGGTTCGAGGAATAGCGAGTCGGAAGTCAAGCGGTCGTCCGTGGAGGGGCCACAGCTGGAATCAACGAGGGTTCGCGCGTTCCGTACCTGGCAGTAAGGTTTTGGCGCCGAAGATACGTCGAAAGATTTCTTCTAGTCGTCTGACGGTGAAGGGGGATCGATTGGAGATGAAAGGATGTCGCCCATGTTTGTGTGCGGTTGAAGGGGAGAAGGGGGGTAAGAGACCCAGTGCCTGAGAGTCAGTCGTGTTGCGCTTTCCGGGCGTGGGAGGCAAGTCTGTGGGAATCGTACGATTCCACAGCGATTATCACATCATGTAGCGAATCAACAGGGTGTGCCATCCCTGCTGGCCAAGCGGCCCGGGCGAGAACGTACCGCTTCGGGTGGGCAGCGAGGTCCGAAAACTACTGAATTAAAGGCGCTACAAAATCCTTTTTTCGCGTTCGCTAGCCGGGATTGCATCGCATCACACGGGGGCTGCCAGCTCCGGGCTTGATCTCGATGGTCAACGACGTCCTGCCACTCCAAGATGCCCATTGCTGCCGCTCTCCGAAAACACCCGTTCACGTCTTCCCCATCACATGCACAGCAACCGTACATGACGTGAGCTGGCCGCACAATGCTATGTAGGTCTGTAGGTAGGGTAGGAACCCACGGCACTGCTCTGCATTTTTTTACCACCTATGTGTGAATTATCCTGCCGGCGCATGTACAATGCACATCG